GGCGAGTCGTGAAGAGAAACGAGGAGAAGTGGTGGCGGCCCATTCCCTGCCTCCCTTCATACGGCCTCTCCGCCGCCTCCCGCAAGGATCTCAAGCAGAAGCGAGACTGCGCCAACCAGATCCACAAGGCCGCCATCGCCATCAATAATGGCGTCCTCGCCGAGATGGACGTCCCTGATTCCTTCATCGCTTCCCTGCCCAAGGTACCTACCTGTTAGCTTCCTAATTCCTTACTAATTGGGGCATTTACATACATGTCCACCAACTCTCATGTATTCATGCATCCAACCCCGAAACATTAATTGATTGTTATGACATGCATCTCACTTAAATATTTAGATCACATCTATCATAATTAATTATTACATTTTTATGCGTAAGCTTAGATACATTAATTAAAGTATTATATTACAAATATAATATAATATAAATTAAAATTTAAAATTTACACATTTGTTAATTTTCACCAATTTGACTAATTTGGTCAATTTTGAATCGTTTGTTAATCTAAAATAATCTCGGCCGCCCCGCCGCCATCGATCACCGCCGTCACCACCCATTGCCGCCCGCAGCCGAACACGGGTCACTCACCACTGTCGCCGGCGGTCTCCCACTCGTCACCACCTTATATATTTTCAAAATATATTATTTTTAATCTAATTCAAATAAATAATAATTATTATGATAATAGTAATAAATTTATTTTATTAAAATATTACTGTTGAAGCAAATCCCCCATTTATTTATAAAAAATATACTTACACTTCACGCAAATCTTCTTGTGCAGAGCGGTCGAGTAGGGATAGGAGACGCCGCCTACCGCCACCTAACCGCCGCCGACCAACTCTCCTCCGATTACATTCTCGACTGCCTCAACATATCGAACGAGCACGAGGCGCTCGAGATGGCCGACCGCATCGAAGCCTCCATGCATGTGTGGCGGCGCAAGGCGAACTCCGCCACCTCCGGAGGCGGCGCCGCAGCCGGAAATAGGTCCTCATGGGAAATGATGAAGGATTTCATGGTGGATTTGGACAAGAATGCAATGTTGGCGAGCAGAGCTCGCAGCCTCCTGTTGAGCTTGAAACAGAGGTATCCCAGCTTGTCTCAGACGACGCTGGATTCTATGAAGATTCAGTATAATAAGGTGAGTTTGGTGTGATAAGTTTCAAAATATTTAGGATTTGTTTGGAGAGAAAATATTATATCAGGAGTCCTTGATTTATTTTATAAGAGAATTTCAATCACGGTCTGCTATGTATATAATCGGAGCCTTTCAGTAAAAAAAAAACTAATTAATTTAATATATGGTTAGATCAGACTGTACATGTGACAAACATTGATTGAAGTCCTGATGCCTCCTGACATAATATTTTTTTTCTTATTAGGACAACTTTGTGTCAGTTTTATTTTTCAGACTGCTACCACATTTATATTTTGGCGAATTTTTTTTTTCAGTTTTTTTAAAATTTTGGTGGTAGAAAGCTGTTTTTTACAAGTTTAACAATTGAAGTGTGTTGGTTGTCAGAAAGAAAGCTACGGTTTAACATTTTGAAAATAAAATGAATTTGTAATTGCCATCATAACCTTTTGAATATCGTTTTCTTTTGCAACAACATCACAAATACCTCTTCAAACAACTACGGTGTCCTAAACAGACCCTTAGTTTAATGAGAAAGATTTGCATTACATAATCCTTTTGTATCTGCATATTTAGCAACTAAACTTTAATTTTTATATTATTAGGGATTTATTTATATGAGAAAGATTAGCACCTAAACAGACCCTTAGTCAGAGATTTATTAAAGTGAAATACATATTTTCATTCATAGATATTTAATTTACAAATTTGCAATTAAACCTCTTTTATATTTATTATGTTAGGTTTATTATATTATTATATTCCAAAATTAATTGCTTAATTAATAAGAAAGGTTGTTCGGATTGTGAAATAACAGCAAAAAAGAATAAATAATTGGAAGAATTACATAAATACCACTAAATTCCTATGTATCAATTTACGTATCTGTCATATAAACTTCAATATTTATATACATACCAATTTACATATCTGTCATATAAACTTCAATATTTATATACATACCATTTTACATGCATGAAAATGTGCATATTTCACTTCCTAAAACTTAAAATGGTGATGTTTTTGATGGTAAGGAAAGATTTAGGTGGTATAAATGCAAAAAATAAATTCCTTAAAATTAATTAACAATCTTTTTGATTTTGCAGGATTTGGGCCAAGCGATTTTGGAGAGTTATTCGAGAGTACTAGAGAGCTTCGCATTCAACCTCGTCTCTTACATCGACGACGTGCTCTACATTGATGAATCCGTTAAGAAACGGTAAAACTGCCGTTAGCAGGTTAACAACAAAGTTTTTTTTTTCTTTTTTTGGAAAAGATATCGAGACCAATTAGCATTATAATTTAACTGTGCCGAGCTCTCTCTTTTTAGAGAAAGTATTGCATCCACACTTCAGACGGCGGCATGATACGAACTGCATTATCGACCGCACGTCTGACCAAACAGAATATAATATTTTCTCTTCGTAACAGTGAACGAAGTTTGGTCGACACATTAGCTATTCATGTTGTAAGTTAAATAGCTATCATTAGAAATGCAAAAACTATTGATATATAT